AATGTTGGTTAGAAATGATCCCAAATGTTTAGTACTTCTGATAATGTTGGTTAGAAATTATCCCAAATGTTTAGTACTTCGGGTAATGTTGGTTAGAAATGATCCCAAATGTTTAGTACTTCTGATAATGTTGGTTAGAAATTATCCCAAATGTTTAGTACTTCTGATAATGTTGGTTAGAAATTATCCCAAATGTTTAGTACTTCTGATAATGTTGGTTAGAAATGATCCCTACTTTTCAGTACTCCAGGTAATGTTGGTTAGAAATGATCCCAAATGTTTAGTACTTCTGATAATGTTGGTTAGAAATGATCCCAAATGTTTAGTACTTCTGATAATGTTGGTTAGAAATGATCCCAAATGTTTAGTACTTCTGATAATGTTGGTTAGAAATGATCCCTTCTGATAATGTTGGTTAGAAATTATCCCAAATGTTTAGTACTTCGGGTAATGTTGGTTAGAAATGATCCCTACTTTTTCGCACTCTAGATGGTTTTGTGTTAGAAATGATATTTTTGGTGGAAATGGCTTTTTTTGTTTCAGTACTTCAAATGATGTTGGGGTCAAAATGATTTCTTAACTGGAAATGATTTTTATGATTTGGCATGCTAGCGGGGGTGATGGTTAGAGATAAGTGTACTTGACTTTCTCTTCCAGCCCGCATTATTGAATAATTGTCACCATTGTTTAAAGTAAAGGTTTAAATGTGTGTAGTAAAACAGGCTGAAAGAATCACAAGGTTCAATAAAATTGTATGAGTACAATGTTTGTACGTTTTATGATGAGTTTAGTTATGAAGGTAGAAGTTTTTAAGAGAAAAGAAAAAGGCTTGTAGTTGATAGGTGTTTTATGGAGCGACAATAATGTTTATGGTAGTGTTGTTTTGTAAGTTTTATCACATCCTGTCTACAGTTTACTTAGACAGGTTATTTCCTTATGTGTCTCTACAGGTGTCAACAGTTATGACAGCTCTGTATGACGCAATTATCAATTTCTCTTGTGATCGCACAAGTATGAGAATCTTATCCGTAGTAAAACTGAACTCATAGCAAGGCTTAATTCTGCAGGTAAATGATAATTCAATCACACGATTGTCTTCGTTACCTGTGTCTACCTGTTGTCTGACCTACGTTTATATATCCTGTTTGCTATGTATCGTATGACTGATTGAGTGTCTTGTCTCTGTCACAACTTAAAGACCGATCAATCAATTTTTGTCACAGAGTAAATGTTCTCTCAGATATTTCATCGGCAAAAGCGATACATGACGTTAAATGTTCAACGTAAAACACAATATAAATTTTTCTTCAAGATTTTCTCACTTTCCTCTAACAAATATTCCTGTAAAGCTGGTCCGTTTGAAATTTGCTGGACAAGCAAATTTAGCTTACATAATACTTGTCTTTGTGTATATATATATATCCTTTAATTTGATTGCGCATGGTTGAATACAGTTTATACAATACATATACATAATTATGTAATTCTACAGGACCGTTGTAACTTGACAGTTTACCTTATGCTGTGTTACACACAATAAAACTATTGTACATCATGCAAATCTCCAGTTTGTTTTGGAATAGTCTTACAGATTCTGTTTTAAATTTGTAATTTATCTCGAACAGAATGAAACAAGTTTTTGTTCCTAATCCTATAAGCTAACAACAGAGATATTGATTGATCAGTAATGTTCTATATATGGAGGAAATCAACTTGTGCATTTGATATCACTGTAAACGTAGAGCCAGGAGTAAGGGTGCAAGATTTAAGTGTTGCAATCAAGGAACGACCTCGTGCTGGTTTAGTTCTCTTTATCATTCCAATTTAAATTTTCTAAAAATAGACTAATAAGATTCATCAATATAACAAATTCAAAGAAAAAAGGGACATTGATGATACTTTTAAAGATTCTTACGCGCAAGCACCTGCAAACAGGGTTTATATTTCAAGCATATTTTAGAATTACTGTTATAAAAATGTAATTAAACAATCATTTATTATCACCGAAAGTCAGTTAGATGGGAGAATTATTTATGATAATCAATTGTGAAATTTATAATCAATTAATCGTGACAGTGTTCCACAATTATCATTAAATCATGCCCTGTTCAGCCTGTCTCCCCCTCAGAAGTTATGGTGTGTGCATGTTCTCAAGGTCACTTTTTTCACACAGACTAACGTATATACCACCTGAATACAAGCTAAACCACCTAGATGGTATCTTTCTCGTGTCCATGTATTGGAAAAGATTAGATTTTGGGGTCTATTCCATAATTAACAGTTATTTTTTCTTTGTTACCTAGAAGAGTTTTTTTCTGCTGGTACTTAAGAAAAGTATAGAATTATTTGTGAGTGGTGGATAATGTTGTAAAAGTTGTAGATTCTATGTTTTCCAGGTACATGTCATTTTATCGGTCATTGACACTGACAATGTGATACATCTTCTTTTGTCACAAACTGATGTTTATAAACAAATACTCACATTGAGATTGACAATGAGATAAATTCCTAATTTCTGTTGGTATGAATAAGTTTCTTGTGTGATTCATCATAAGTAGTTACAAGAGGTGTTTGAAGCATGAAAATCATACGTATCACTTTACCATGTTCACCGAACACGATCATCTCATTGGATCTTTATTCATTGATGGGCTATTAATGGTCAGTAGTATGGTGATCATGTTTCTCATTAAAGGGTAGATAACTCCAAAGACATTCAAACATTTTAACCAGTCTTCTTGCTTAGAATGTTATTGTCCAACATGGATATTACATGTCAAGTTCATTGCAATATATAGGTCGTTCTGGTCAGACTGCAGTCACCAGGCCAACTTTGATGCCTGTAGTATAATTACTTAACCCAGGTCTACTGTACCTGTACTGGTCACTTGACCCAGTTCTACTGTACCTGTACTAGTCACTTGACCCAGTTCTACTGTACCTGTACTAGTCACTTGACCCAGTTTTGCTGTACCTGTACTTGTCACATGACCCAGTTCTACTGTACACATGTACTACTGTCCCACTTGTCACCCAGTTCTACTGTACCTTGTCACTTGACTCAGTTCTAGTCACTTGACCCAGTTTTGCTGTACCTGTACTTGTCACATGACCCAGTTCTACTGTACCTGTACTAGTCACATGACCAAGTTCTACTGTCCCTGTGCCTGCCACCCGGACCAGTTCTATACCCTTTATCACTAGGCCTCTACGTCTGGGTCACGAGTTCAAGTCATATGTGGGGCAGCCGCTTGGTACTGGCAGCAGGTCTGTTTTTTCAGCAGGACCTATGTCTTACCTACACCACCCAAACCTGGCACATCCTTTAAGATTCTGACTGTTAATAGGACATAAAGCAACAAATATACCATCAATGAATTTATTTAAATTCTGATCAGGGAAAGTTTTAGTTGGTATACATTATAATTATGAATTGATAACTTTTACATGTGCAGGCCATTGTTGCCTCTACAATTAAAATGGTTTGAATATTTTATAGTTTATTGACTGTAACGTTTCAGAATTACCATCATCATGATACTTTTATATTTTCCCTTTGATTACAAACTGATGATAATCATGACACTTTCATATTTTCTCTTTGATTACAAACCACAACATTTTATTGCAGAATACTGTTTATTTCATGTAAATGTATATGTATATGTATTTTACCTGATTCAAATGTTTGTACATTGGAAATAATTTTGTGTCTTTATGACTTGTTATGGTGTTAAATGGGTTGCTGTAGACCTTGATAAACTAGTTTTTTAACTTTTGATATTTATCATGCTAGTAAAGTTTTTATATCAGTTTCTTAAAATTTGTTTAAGTCTTACATAAGTGGTCTCCGAAGACAGGGGGATTAGAACAGAAATCTTGTAGTAAGTGGTCTCAAAAAACAGGGGGCTGAGAAAAGCGATATCTTATGCAAGTGGTCTTCTTGGACAGGGGGCTCAGAAAAGAGACCTTTTGGTTAGTGGTCTCTTAATACAGGGGACTCAGAAAAGAGATATCTTAAGTGGTCTCCAAAGACAGGGGGATTAGAACAGAAACCTTGTAGTCAGTGGTCTCAAAATACAACTGAGCTCAGAACAGAGATATCTTAAGTAAGTGGTCTCATGAAACAGGGTGCTTAGAAGAGAGACCTTGTGGTTAACCGTTTCTGAAGATAATACAGCGCAATTTTTCATTGAACATCAATGATGATGCAGTGATCATGAATAGTTTTCACAACATTGTACCATTCCTCGATTCATGATGACCAGCCAAATACTTAAACAGGATATCTATGTTCACAGAACAGACCCATGTAAGATTCTTTTAATCCTAAGTAAGTGGTCTCCAGAGCTCAGAACAGAGACCTTTTTTGTTAATGGTTTCACAATACAGGGGACCCAGAACAGACATATATCAGGCAAGTGGTTCTCAAGACAGGGGGTTCAGATCAGGGATCATTGTTTAGAGCTGGCAAGGTTTCGTGAGACAGGTCTTTAGGATAGCATGATAAAATGGTGACTTTACCGGTGCAGACCAAGTAGTTGCAGATCTATATGTAATGTTTTATATCAGACATTGACAGAATAAGGCCAGTATTGATGTACGATGACCCACGGTGACAACGGGGAGGTATGAAATGGAGCAATAGTGTTGTCACTTGGAGCTAAAACATTGGGTTTGTTGACACACACACAGACAGGGGGCTAACTTGTAGCTAACCATCAATCTGTCTGAGGACAGCCAGTTTATCTCCCCAATTCGTGGTGCTGATACGAAAATGTTTTTATATAAAAGTGTCAGGAAACACAGACCTCATTACTTGTTTTCAAGTTTTGCTTTAGTAAAACATTTCTTCCTGTATTTTCCTGTCCAAATTTGTTCTTGTCTTTGTTCTCATCGATTATTTATCACTGTCAAACCGTTGGTTTATTTCAGTGTACTGTATTTAACGACAGCAGGTTCAGATGATGTATTTCAATTCTGTTTTCTGTGTTTTGCAGCATTGGAAATCACGCGTCATCCCATCAACATCACAGTAGAGGAGCGCCATCGTGCAACGCTGCACTGTGATGCACGTGGTGTAGGGGATATCAAGACAGTATGGTATCACAACGGCAAGCGCATGCGTCCTCACCCGAAAAACAACAGCAACCACATCAACATCAACTACAAGATAAAGAAAAATGGGCGTCTAATTTATATTGATACCCACGTAGAGGACAGCGGTTCTTACTACTGCAATGTTAGCGATGTAACTGGGCAGTACAAGATATCTGGAAAGGCATTCCTCCAGGTGGATGGTATGTGGCTTCTCATTGGTCACTGTTTAGTTCACAACCAACCAATGGTATTCTCTCATAATCTGGTCCTCACTTATTTGTTCAGTTTTAAGCTATTGCACTGAGATTTAGTATTTTGTTGTTTAAGGAGATAATGAGAAAATGTAGGTAAAGATGTTGCTTGAAGCCTGCCTATTTTTTTTTCGCCTTGAGTTTTGACCCAATTGAACTTAGAACATTGCAATGAATTATTAGTTTCTGTTAATTTTTCCATTGGCCTACCAAATACTCTAATTTTAATATCACCCAGCCAAGGTTTTGCCCTATGTCTTTTTACATTAATTTAACATGTATTTGTGTCTGGGATGATTTGGGTCAAGATAATCCTATTTAGTTCCAGCAAAGTAATTTTCCCAGAATTATGGTCCAGGGACTAGAAAAATTTCAAGAAACTCTAAGTTTTCACTCATTTTTTTATAAATGAATTTGGATATTGAACTGAAATTTTATCAGTACATAGTTATGATATTTGTTCCATTCACTTGAGCCTTCATCAACCAATTCCTGTCATTAACTGATATAGTCCTGACTACATCTCTGAAGTAGCCAGCATGATTGGATATTGCTGGTTTGTGTCGGACTCGCACATTTAGGGTACGGAGAGTATTAGGGTCATATCATTTGACATTTCAAGCTAATGTGAATTCAATCCATGAATTTTATTTAAGAAGACTTGAAATTGATAACATGTATGACGTATTCTTCAACACTAGAACTGACTATAGCAAACCTGAATACTTATGATGTATTGTAGTATTACACGCTATGGGGTTGGATTTCATAAAAGCTGGGTTTTAATTAGACAATTAGCCCCCTGAAGATTTACATTAAGATTTGAATATCTAAAGATTGATGTACAAAACTTAATATTCTTATGACGTTAAAAGATATCATCATGATCGTCAGATTCTTTGGAGACAATGTTTGTTAATAATGCAAGAAAACACAACATCATTCATCAAGTTTTTTTTTTTTACAGTTATTGTACAAAATGGATTACAGAAGAAAAGGTTTAAGTCATTTTATGCAATATGCAGTAGCTCTCAAGTTATCTGACAAAGCATTCAAAGTTGAATGTCAAAGTTTCGACTATGTATAGCCATTTTCTACCACAAAGCTGGCTTATATTAGATTTCCTTCTCTATGGAGTTTAGAAAATAAATTGACAACTGACGTCATTCCTGTATTCTTTGTAGGTGTTAATCATCCATAGAATAATAAAAGTGATGATTAGACGGGACTTTTCATTTCGTTGCACAAATGAAGTGTGTTGTGTCGTTGTGGATAAAGAAACTTATACGGTGATGAAGGACATACTTTACATGGGTCCACAAAAACTTACATTATATTTACCTAAATGGGTATTGATATGATTGCTCTTGTTTCCTACCCATTGTATCCTACACTTTATGTTCAGATTTCTAATATAATTGTTAGTTTGATCTTTGCAGGTGGGAGTTTTAACAGGGAAGAAATTTTTGTGGTACATTGTGTCAACACGGGCAGGAGTAGCGTGCACTTAATTTTCTCTTGAGTTTTATGGGTGTTTAAAGTTTACATCTATCCGTGTGATGATGGAGTCATTTTACTGGATAATCTTGCCATCTGTAGGGCTTGTGTTAAACAAATTAGTGGGCCATGTCCATATATGGATAAGTGTTGACAAAAATGGCCAGACAATTTTATATGCTAAGCCATACAAATAGGCAGCTCTCACATTATCTGGTGTGATAGATATTACATTTAGGGGGACCAGACATGTTTGGTGCGACAGATATTACATTTAGGGGGACCAGACATATTTGGTGCGACAGATATTACATTTAGGGGGACCAGACATATTTGGTGTGATAGATATTACATTTAGGGGGACCAGACATATTTGGTGCGACAGATATTACATTTAGGGGGACCAGACATATCTGGTGTGATAGATATTACATTTAGGGGGACCAGACATATTTGGTGTGATAGATATTACATTTAGGGGGACCAGACATATTTGGTGTAACAGATTACATTTAGGGGGACCAGACATATCTGGTGTGATAGATATTACATTTAGGGGGACCAGACATATTTGGTGTAACAGATTACATTTAGGGGGACCAGACATATCTGGTGTGATAGATATTACATTTAGGGGGACCAGACATATTTGGTGTAACAGATTACATTTAGGGGGACCAGACATATCTGGTGTGATAGATATTACATTTAGGGGGACCAGACATATTTGGTGCGACAGATATTACATTTAGGGGGACCAGACATATCTGGTGTGATAGATATTACATTTAGGGGGACCAGACATATTTGGTGTAACAGATTACATTTAGGGGGACCAGACATATTTGGTGTAACAGATTACATTTAGGGGGACCAGACATATCTGGTGTGATAGATATTACATTTAGGGGGACCAGACATATTTGGTGTAACAGATTACATTTAGGGGGACCAGACATATCTGGTGTGATAGATATTACATTTAGGGGGACCAGACATATTTGGTGTAACAGATTACATTTAGGGGGACCAGACATATCTGGTGTGATAGATATTACATTTAGGGGGACCAGACATATTTGGTGCGACAGATATTACATTTAGGGGGACCAGACATATTTGGTGTGATAGATATTACATTTAGGGGGACCAGACATATTTGGTGTGATAGATATTACATTTAGGGGGACCAGACATATTTGGTGTGATAGATATTACATTTAGGGGGACCAGACATATTTGGTGTAACAGATTACATTTAGGGGGACCAGACATATCTGGTGTGATAGATATTACATTTAGGGGGACCAGACATATTTGGTGTGATAGATATTACATCTAGGGAGACCAGACATATTTGGTGTAACAGATTATATTTAGGGGGACCAGACATATTTGGTGCGACAGATATTACATTTAGGGGGACCAGACATATCTGGTGTGATAGATATTACATTTAGGGGGACCAGACATATTTGGTGTAACAGATTACATTTAGGGGGACCAGACATATTTGGTGCGACAGATATTACATTTAGGGGGACCAGACATATTTGGTGTGATAGATATTACATTTAGGGGGACCAGACATATTTGGTGTGATAGATATTACATTTAGGGGGACCAGACATATTTGGTGTGATAGATATTACATTTAGGGGGACCAGACATATTTGGTGTGATAGATATTACATTTAGGGGGACCAGACATATTTGGTGTGATAGATATTACATTTAGGGGGACCAGACATATTTGGGGTGATAGATATTACATTTAGGGGGACCAGACCAGAGATATTATCATATTTTATGACAGAGCTTCTTGATTTCTGTTGTGGTGCTAGACAGAGATAAATTTCCCTATCCTCAATACTGTACTTTCCAGCTTGTAATATGCTATATATTATCCAAGTGTTTTCTACCATAGAATACCTCAATACATAACTCGCCTTCTTAGCATAATAGGAGGCTAATGTAATCGTCCCATCATCAGTAGCATCTCACCTGATAAACAAGCATTGCTGGATCACAGATCTCAATGCTCAGTTGAATTATTAGCAGTAAACACCTTCAAAGGGGTAAATTTGTACTGTGTTTCTCATCTAACATCAATATTCCAGCTGTTTGGTTCTCTGACCCTAGTACATATACATGTAAGGTGTTACCTAAGGCCAAAACTATGTACAAACATGTTAATGTTTTAAGTGTGTTTATACTTAGAATTATATAATTACATAAACATATGTAGATGGGATAACAAACATCACAGCTCCTCTTTTTAAAAAATTAAATTGTTGTTTTGAATTTGTTCTTTACTTATAAAACACCTAAACAAAAGATAAATTAAAAGTACACTTATTATATATATTATATATATATATGAGCCAGGGCATTATTGTCAACATATCTTGGTTCGTGTGAACTTCCTGGTAGCTGTTTAACATATACATACTGTTACTTATAAAGTACTTTGTTTGATAGGGTAACATAATACGATGTAGAATTATTTGTTTGGGTGACGGAAAACAATGAAGCATTATTTGATAGGGTAACATACCACAATAGCATTATTTGAAAGGGCAACATACCACAATGTAGCATTATTTGAAAGGGCAACATACCACAATGTAGCATTATTTTATAGGGTGACGTAAAACAATATAGCATAATTTGGTAGGGTAACATAAAACATTGTAGCATTATATGATAGGGTAACATAAAACATTGTAGCATTATGTGATAGGGTAACATAATACAGTGAATACTGTGCTGTTCTGATCATCAGAACCACATGGGTTCATCTTTTAGGAGTGGGGTGTATAACGAGATGACTGGGCTGAGATGCAGGGCACTGTGACTGAAATGTCTACTTTAATAACACTTACATGTATATATATATTAATATTTTAGCAAAATTAGATAAACATCTGCACAAATAAAATTCCATCTCTTATGATAAACTGCAGTGTTACAGCTGATAACACAGTATACTTTACTTACAAAACAGGAACGTGTGTCAGACGGATCATCACAAGATACTTGTAAAATATGTACCTGAGATAGCAAATTCATCTAGCAGTTTACCTGTAAAAACGAGAGAAGAATGTCTTTCAAAAACAGTTTGAATAAGCAATTTATCATTACAAATGAGAAAGATATTTCAGATCTCATACAGCAATATACCTATAAAAATGACAAGAACAAGGGAAGTGACATATGATTCATGATTCCATGAAGGTCAGCAGCTTCAGTATAGGAAATCCATTTATAACTTACATGGCTCACTCTGGAGATATTGATGGTCACCAAACTTAATTACAACACACTTGAAGCGTCTTTCATTTAAAATGTAACTATACTTTAAATATATTCACACCTTATACTGTAAGTTTACCTTTTGATGAGTGTAACCACACCTCTGATTTTATACTTTCAGTACCTGCTCGGTTCATAGAAAAAGGACCACATGACCGCCATGTCAAATTTGGAGTAGCTGTGGAGTTGACATGCATTGTGACTGGTGTACCGAAACCAACCATTAAATGGTTCAAAAATGGAATCTGGGTAACAACAATTTCTAATCGGAATATGATTTAAGATCTTTAATGATATTTTGCATTGCTTTGATCATAGAAAATCATATTTCATATTTATTGCATCAACTGAACCACCCACATTGAATAAGAGTTATCTCCCTTATAATAAAAAGTCTTGCACAGCCTTTGAAGAGTTTATATAAACAGGTGTTATCTGATGTGTCTGTTGTAAACATCTTATTATCCCTTCATCTAGAGCTGTGTATCAGGTGCACATAAACTCAGTAAAATCTACTTAATCACAACACGGGAATGTTAAGATGTTCATAGTGACTGATATGATTTCATGAATTTTGTCTTTTTTTTTATTTTGTAAACACTGAAAATCTTTTTTTTAAATGTTCAATTGATGTGTCTAAATTTTAAACACCATTCCAACTGTAAAAGCACATATATATATATATATATATAAAGTTATCATAATTACATATTATTGTTTAAATTAATATAATTCCAAATCGTAAATTAATTTTATAAAGATTAAGTATGATAGATAATTTGAATCGTATTTAAATATTTCAGTTACATAAGCCGTACCCAAGGGGGATGGAAATCACTTACAAAGCAACAGCCTCAGTAGAGTTTTCTGGCACTGAAACAGAACTGTCTCGACTCTGGATAGGAAATGTCACAGAGGAGGCCATATATAACTGTACAGCAGTTAACACACCAAAGGGCCGTCCATTTCCAATTCACAGAGAAGCTAGGGTTGTTCCTATCCCTGTGAATAATGGTAAGTGTGATAGATTTGTTAAAATAAAAACATTTAATTAGTGATCAAGTTTGTTTTCGTTTCCTCTCAAGTTTTCTTTAAAAAAAGAGATTTTCAGATATTTTTACATAAATGTAATTTCAGAAATGTTAGCCCATGGTATCAGATTTAGGATATACGAGTGATAAACCATTTATCAAAATTATCATGCAAATCTAAAATAATTTATGCTGTCATTCGTCAGACTGAGACAGAATGTATACAGAAACATCTGCAATAAAAACATGACCGAGATCCTTTGTACCTGTACAATATAGTGACTGACTTCCTGTCCAGACGTCCTTAATAGAAATGTATTTAAGAGCATTTACAATATGAATTACATGTTCAAAGCCTTGTTAGCAATATTATAATATGATTTATGTGTCTTCTTTATAGTATTTTAGAGAATTAGGTATCTGTAAACAAACAGAAAAAAAACTGGTGTTTATGTAATGTATTCAAATATTTATGATAAACAGTTATGTAATTTATCTAAACTATTATAGGTGTAACATGCACCGATTGTCTGGTCATGTTACCTGACTTTACCTGGGGACAGGTATGTAGTGGCGTTAAAAAAGGTCAGGGCCGGGTCACTTTCTCAGCATATACGGCATGTCAATCATAAATATTTATATATAGCCTACATGTGTATCATAATGTTATCACTGACATCAGACCCCTATAAACTGAAAATCGTATTGGAAGGAATTTTAGAGATAACAGGCAATAAAAGGCACAGTACCATACTGTTATCAGGGTTAAATTGATGTGTAAAGAGGATTGTATAAAAAATAAATAATGCAAATATCACAAGAATTCCAGGTATTTAAAATGCTGTATACTGATGATTGGGTCCCATTTGACTGGCCATTACACGGTGGATAACACTAGTGTTCAGAGCCCCCGGCATAGCTGTGTTTAATTTCTGTATAATGTAGTCACAGTTAACTGGCCAAGGAATTTTTCTCTGGCCTGTTTGTACTGTCAACATCAAATGTATACAGTAATATTTCAGCGATATGTTGTATAGGAAGTGTTCAAGGTAGTGCTCTAGTGTGATACCCATATATAATAATGAATATTTCTCTCTGTTGTCTGTTCTCTGTATGTAGGTGTGGTACACTCCACCTTCTTGCAAACTCCCCACAACTTGAAGGCCCCCATCCATCCCTCTCCCAGATGAAACACAGCAAGCCACTAATACTTAATTCTGTTTTGATACATACTTGTATTACCTGGTCATATGACCATAACAATGCGGTTGTGATCAAAGGTAAAATCTGAAGGATGAAACTAGTATTGACATAGCCTTTCAATCTTCATTTGGTGAGGTAGTACATGAGGAAGTGCTGGCTTTGGGTACATAGCTTTTCATCTCCCAATGTTAAAGGTCAAGGTCTGTTGCTATAAATAAAAAATCAGTTTCAATGTGAAAACTACAGTTGGCTTTGGCCAATCTAACCCAAACTTCATAAGTACTTCCTAACTGAAAATGTTTGCTTGAGATTGCTTTACAGTTTTGAAGGTCAAAGGTCAAGGTCACTGTTACTATAAATAGAAAAATTTGTTTCACTGTGATAAATCAAGTATGCTTAGGCCAATCAAATGCAAACCTCATACAATGCTTCCTTACAAAAATGGCTCACTTTGGATCACTTTTCAGGGCCCTGGGTCAGTGGTACGGATTAGTGTTACTCTTAAGTAGAAAATTGGTTTCCGTGGTATAATTTGGATTTCCTTGGGTCAATCAAGCACAACCAGTGTGAGGGATTTCCAGCCACATAACATTGTCTTTGCTACCTGAGTTAAAAAGTGATCTAGCTTCATTAAATTCAGATATTGGTCCTTTTTCATCCCTTGTTGATCAAGTACAAATATTTTGTCAAAATTGTTGAGAAATAATCTTTTTACCCTTTAAGTTTTGAAACTAGATTTGAAAAAAGCAAAATGGTAGTTTAAAGATTGTGATTGCTATTTCTCAGAAAATCTTACCAAAATTTCACATTCAAGTTTCATCATGTTCCTTGTTGTGCACATTAAATTTTTGAACAGGTAGGGAAAACCGAAAGGTTGACAAAATACAAAGCACTTGATACCATGTTATACAGAGATAGAACTCTTAAGATGCCTGTGGATTTCAATAGATTTCACAGAGTACCATGTTGCTTAAACAGGGTTTGAAAGAACAGGAATGAAACACATGTAGTTCTGATGTTTTCAAAGTAGTTCTTATGTTGAAGTAAAGGTTTAAATTGTTTAAGGTTTGTAAATAGTTTAAAAGAACTACAACAAACAAGTCACATAATACATAACAGTACAATTCTTACTTGGGGCTCCAGTACAGGATCCATGAAGGTTCGACAAATTTTCATTAAACTCCATGTCTACGGCACCGAATTTGTAGTGATATAATCTATCGAAAATTATCATGTCAGTTCTAAAACTTAACAATATTTTAATATCTGACTATTCACTTAAGATTGACCTAGCTTATGTATAAAATTCTAGATCCCCTCTGGCCCCTGCATTTCCTGATCTTGACCATTGGCTTAATACATAAGGGCATTTAAACATTGACCGTTTGATTTAAAATGAAAAACATACCCCAAGGACATTACTGGTGTGTGGAATAAATAAATAACGTTATGACTCAAGCCTAACTAGGACTTATTTTGACTTAACACCTCATGTATGTTCATGCTGGGAACAGTGTGGCCATTTTGAGTATTGTACAGTGTGCTGACTAAATGAGGAGAGATAGTGTTTTTCTCTCACAGATAATTACTTCTAAAGGTCGTGAACTGGTTAGGTTTTGTTTATACGTCTGTAGGATGAAAAGCTGTTGCATGTTCTCTGTGTTTGAGTAATACTTACGTAAATTGGTGATCTCATAATACATCAGATTGTCTATTGGCCATCTCAACAAGTGACTGTGTACAGATGCTGGAATTACGTAGAAGTAGACAGATGATATATACTGAGAAATTCTGGGTGAAGAAATCTAAAGGGATTAAACTCTGACGTATTACTTGTGTGTGAATACTGTTGGTATAACATATGGTTTTACCGTTGGATATTTTTATTCAATCAAGTGATATCGCACAAAGACTGAACAGGAAGCTCCCAAACATACGGAACTTTGTCACAAAGTATTTATGATATCTTGTCACCAGCACTGGTCACAAGAGGGATACAGAACTTTGTCACTAAGGATTTATCATATCTTGCCATCAGCACTGGTTACTAGAGGGATACAGAACTTTGTCACTAAGGATTTATCATATCTTGCCATCAGCACTGGTTACTAGAGGGATACAGAACTTTGTCACTAAGGATTTATGATATCTTGTCACTAGCACTTGTTACTAGAGGGATACAGAACTTTTAGTTTTGTCTCTACAAATTTGTTTGTCTGTACAATGAGGAGTTACTAGTTAGGGTCAGTACAAAGAAAAATTTTTTATGTTACTTAAAATACATTGAAAAAAAGTGACAGATTTGAAAATTTCCCTTAAAAGAATTAACTTTGTACACCAATACAGTAACAGTCTTGTTTTAAGTTAAAAATGGTTACATTTGCTTCAAGTGCATCAGATAAAAAAACAATTTCTGTACTATTGATAAACACATAAGTGGGAAAATAAGGAACTCCATTCATTCACTAGATGGGATAGGAGCGATATTTACAGCGTTTATCAGCCGTTATTTCCTCTTGGAAGAGGGGGATGTATATTTACTGATTATTGGTGATAACCTTCCTGGTATTTCCCACATGTATTTTAGCATGAATCACATTGAAGTGGGTTTGGAATAGAAATATATAGATATTTGTGAAGGATATAATTTTTTGATGCCCTGCTGTGCTTGAGCCTGAATACATAGCAGATTTTGTAGGAGAAGTAACTCTAAAATCCCCTGGAAAGATGAAGCTGATATTATCAGTATTGCCTCAGCAGCTCACATAGATACAGATGACATGTGCGATGTTTATTTTTCTTGAGAGACTTTGAGGCTAAGTGTAGCTCCATGGTTTACTCAGCCCAGGAAATAGAGATATAGGTCAGATATCAAATTTTTGATGAAACTTTGGGGAGATTAGCAGGCTACTAATGACTGGCTGAGAGGAGCAGATAAAGAGTTGAGTATTTACCACAAATGAAACATCTCTAGCAGCATAGCAAGTGGGATAGGAGAGCAGACCTTGTGGCATATTGGGGAGACACTGCTCTGAGACTTGGTGAAAAAAATTTTGGATTTAAATACCACTTCTCAATTAAGATAAAACAAATACAGTTAGGTTCAGTGCATTCCGTGACAGCTGCGAGAGAGCGGTTTTTTCACGACAGAAGTTTTCATTTGGTTTGAGACAGCCAACCTGCTGTTACCGCAGAGGATATGTAGTGGCTTGGCAGCTGTATCTCTGCTTCTCATTCTGTATGTACACAGTATTAACAATGTCAACATAGCGCACACAGTTACAGTGCAAATCAAATTTTCTCTAAATTCTGTATAAATATTGAACTGGGTTTCACATTATCATTCACAATCAGATTTTTGGAGAATTGTGTTGGAGGATTTGCTATAGAGAATCTACACTGGTGGTGTGGCCCTGAAACTCTGTAAGGCATGGTTTTTGATTTGACAAGTTTCACTGCAGAGTGAAACTGTCTGTGTAGAGAAAATTCAGAAACGTATCACAGGAATTTTCAAAAGAATTTTCATCTAAAAGAAACTCAACATCTGAAGTCTCGGAGAAAAGAATTAGAGACTGGTTTTGAATGTGAGAGCTCATTGTGATCGCATCCATGTGCAGTCAGGAGTGAAGTTACAGCAGACAGCACCAAAGGACAACCTGTGTCTACAGGGCTGGCACCACTTAGGTTCTAAAACACTTGTTCCTTAGGATATAAAAGTATTTCTCTGTAGACTTGTGGACTAATCTTTAACAGCTGATGTAAGAGAGAGTGTTTGGACTAAATGAAACAGTGTTATAACTTCATGTGCTAATCGGTAGACAGCACAAAGAGAAAAATTGATTCAGAGAGTGTATTTAGTCAATCATCATGAAGGTGAAAAAGGCTTATCATTTCCTGGCACCAAACCCCAATATTTCACGGAGAAGTAAAAGGCTTGTTGAGACCTGCTTTGTGATCTTTCTTATCCTGGAATTTATCTCTTCTACTTCAGGAGAAGGCAATGCTGGAACGGCCAAGCCACCGGAAGGGTGAGTACCTTTTTATATTTAATTTCAAACCCCCATTCTTTTTCATTAGATCATCCCTTCTTTTGATCTAGAGCATTCCATAATATTACAAGGTAAGTGACGTTTTACTAACTTACAAACATACACAGTTGATTCATGAAATAAACTGACATGATTGGTTCAGATATATTAACAGTGTCGTCTCTTAGTCTTGCTGGTGTAAAGAGAAGAATATTGGTGAATGGTAGAGCTATTTAAAACAGATCATTTTGAGACAAAAATAGAGAACTTTCAGATTTCAATCTGAAAAGTTTTTTAATACATACAGTTGAATAATGCTATAATAATTAAGTGCACTGTAACATTTTAGTCAAAAATTAAAGATTAAAAATTTTAAATCAAATTTTGATAAACTCAAGATGTTTTTTGCAAATACAGTAATAGAACTTTTACAAATTTAGTTTTATAAAATGAATACACTTTTCCATAAATCATAGACACAGTTTAACAATACAGAGTAGAGTAGAAACTCCTTCAATCACCATGGCAATAAGTTTTCACATATCTTTTAGATCAAGCCAAATTATTAAATTGAAGAGGTATTTTCGTGACCTTCGCATAACTTTATGATCCTATTACTAGCTTTGTTTAACAGAAATCAGCATTCGTACTTCAATTATGTAATAATTGGTGAGGTGCTACATTTATACAAGTTTTATTAATAGTGGCGCCTCTATAAGCGTTGTAATGCTATGTTGTACTATAAAAGACTAAATCAAAACCATACTTTGGTCTTGTTGACATTCATAAGCCTATAAACCCTTTTTTCTTCAAGGTTAACATACAGGCCAGCAGTAACCTCAGCTTTTATGATAGTTCACATTTAAGTGTCTGTAAATGTGACATTTCTGACATTTTAGACATTTTAGGTTCATGGGTCTATAAACCCTACAAATTGTGATATTCAACATTCATGGTTCTATGGACCCTTCCTTCCTAATGATTGAAATTCACGGGTCTGTAAACCCTACTTTTCTAATGTGTGACATTCACGGGTTTGTAAACCCTACTTTTCTGATGCTTGAAATTCATAGGTTGGTAAAACCTCCATTCCTAATGTTTGATATTCACAAATCTGTAAAACCTACTTTCCAAATGTGTGACATTCACGGGTCTGTAAACTCTACTTTTCTGAGAAGTTGAAATTTAAGGGTCAGTAAAACCTCCTTTCCAAATGTTTGATATTCACGAATGTGTAAAACCAATTTTCCTGATGTTTGACATTCACGTGTTCGTGAACCGCACTTTTCTTACAGTTCACGTTCATGGTACTGTACCTTTACATGATTTATAGGTAATTTATCTTTTATACACCCCACTGTGAGCAGCTCATGATTGATCATGATTGTAACCTTTAAAAACAAGATCTCATCTCAATCTCTTTGAAATTTATGATGACATTTTGAAATATCAAGAAACATAAATATGTTGTAATGAATGGACATTAATTCAAGATTAGGTGCTGTAGGTTCTGTGAAGGGCTTTGATTTTAGATATTGTGTGTTAGGTGAAGAATTTGTTTGTAAGTACTCAAAGAGGGCAAATCTTTGCGGAATTTGTGATACAGATCAATAAAAACAGCTTTTTGGTAGATTTATGTCGCTTTAACAGGTCTGTGACAATTGATCCCACACCCAGACTTACAAGGTGATAGGCTGATCGTGTTTATATCCTAGTATTAACATTTATTTCTTGTTAAATGATGAAGTGACTATTTCAAACCAATTATTACTTGTTACAGAATGCTGAACAATATAGTGAATTGATATGGAATTCAGGGGAAAAAAAACAGATGGAATTTTGTAATTAACTTTAATGCGTTTTTTCTCATTTGATGGCCATCAGGTTTGGGTTGTAATACTTAGTAAGACCCTGGAGTAGATATACATCTCCTCCGTCTCCTTACACATGTAGTGTGCATCCCTTAACACTATCAGAGGAGGGTTTTCGTGGGAAAGTCACGGTTGCCTGGACCTTTCACACTTAAACTAGGATTGGTCCAGTCTCCCTTGAGAAACTAGAGATATATACCAGTCTTGTTTTTTGTCATGTTTGACATCTCTTTAAAACATAGAATAGAGCTAAAGTAAATATGTTCAAGTAGTTGGTTTTACCAGTTCTCTCATCAACTTATATATTGTTTCTTGAGCGGAAAAAGAGGGAGCTAATTACATGTCCATTTGTTAGGGGTTTAGGGTTTCTAGAACCAAGAGTGCCATTTACTAGGGAAACAAAATGATACTTTAAACTCTCTGGGGCTAATTCAGTGTTGACCGTTCGAGTGATCTATCACAGAGACAGGCATCTTCAAAGGACAGTAATGTTATTCTTAATAAGAGCAGAATAATAAAAATACTGAAAGAACCAGACTTTAAAAGTAAGTAAAAAGTAAGTATGTCAATTTCATACATTACTTACTAATTGATAAATGAAATAGATTAATAACATTTATCCTTTTCTTCAGAAAATTAAAATTTACATGAAAGCAGTTCTAAATATCAATATGTATGATTGGGGGAATACCTGAATAAGTTTTAGGTGTCATCTAAGGACAGATTCATTCAAGGTATTCGACATGTTTTATCGGACAATAATTTGTTGTGCAGGAGTAGTATAGTTTTGAGGTGATAGTAAAACAATGTAGCCTTGGTAACCATAATAATGGTGATAGTAAACCAATGTAGCCTTGGTAACCATAATAAAATGTACTTTAGACGATGTAGTGACAGTCAACAATAATAATGCATCCCCATCGTCAAGGCTTCTTAGCATGCAGCGTGTGCAAGTTTGTCATGCACCAAAAGACAGGGGAAAAATTGGCAGCATCCCTGTGGTGTTATGTAGGCGTGTTTCACAGGGATATCACAGAAATGTCTTAAGCACCATTGCTAGCGAAGAGCCATTTCATTCTGATAGGGACACAATCATGTATGATGTAACTTCTAATTTTTTCTTTGGATAACAACACACGAAAATAAGCCTCACCATACATATATTATCCATTGGTAAACCTTAGTCATGTGTCAGGTTAATATTGTACAAGGCAAGAAGGTTTTTTTGAGAAATTCTAGTAAAAGCATATCTGTAGCGTAAAATGGACAGAATATATATAGGAAAGTTATAAATTGTATTTGGAATAACTACCCTTTTGTTAGAATAGATGGTGTTTTAATGAGCAGTATTTGTATATATATAGCTTGTTTGTGTTTTCTTTGAAGATGTATGTATCACCATAATGTACAAAAAATTGTTCATTAGCATACTACAGAAATGTTTCTTAGTGACTTCAAAGGAAATAAATGTAAGGCAACGCTAATGTAGAAATAGTCTGATTTCACTACAAAGTTCACTGTCTTGTGATCACCTCCTGTAATGTCACATGATCATCCAGCTCCTGTGCTGTCACATGATCACCTCTGTAGCTGTTATTAAGTCATTTTCTGAGTTGTCACCTGGTCTTTTTCTGTGCTGTCACATGATCATCTGTAGCTCCAGTGCTGTCACATGATCACCTCTGTAGCTGTCATTAAGTCATTTTCTGAGTTGTCACCTGGTCTTTTTCTGTGCTGTCACATGATCACCTCTGAAACTGTCAGTAGGTCTTTTTCTGAGTTGTCACCTGGTCTCTTTCTGTGCTGTCACATAATCACCTCTGAAGCTGTCACTAGGTCTTTTTCTGAGGTGTCACCTGGTCTTTTTCTGTGCTGTCACATGATATACCTGGTTCACATTTGATCTTGTTTTGGACCTGGGTCAGAGAAGCCAAAATAGTGTAAAGATGTAGAAAAACATCCAGAAACATATCACTTTGTTAATGAGAAGAGTCACTTAATTAAACGTAATAAGACACTTCACCATCTTAACATGTACACTTGGTACAAAGTACCTGATGGCTGTCTACAACATGCCTTCAGACCTGCACACGTGCTGACTGACGAGGGGGAGGCGGTTACAGGCTGATTGGGAACATTTGGCCACTGAGTTGAATTTATAACAAACTTTAGGAAACAGATGGGATTATAACCCAGACTAAACGGCATGTTTTAAAAGTAGAATGCAATAGTTCTGGATTTTAACAGGTGTGACCAGCAAAATGCGTACACATTTAGAATCGGTTGAGAACCAGTTGGCTTCATTTCATTTGAAAATTTAGGCCTAAAACTGTTTACTCTTGATAGATTTCAAGTGTATAGGTTTGGACAAATTCAGGTTGAGTGCTGCAACATCATATTAGAGCTGTATACAAAAAATCTTTCAAAAAATACCTCTTTAAAACTGATATCTGGGAGAATAGAAGGTGTGCTATCACAACCATCAGATGAGCATGCCAATACCGTTTTTAAATCTAGTTCCTTCAGATAAAATATCCCATGCTCTGACAAAAAAAAAGTTGCATTTTCAAAGTTATGACTAATGTATCCTGTTGTTACAGATAATGTCAGAACATTTTATCAATTAATGGAAACAACACAGACGGCAGAGTGGAAGCAGGATCCGTTTAAATCATTTCTAAATGAACGTGATAAACACACCAATCACACAGCTAGTTAGAACTTTTATACGATAGCCTTGTAAATCAGAGAGTCACTTAATTGTATCATTAGTGTTGTGATTTGGGGATTAATACAGTCATGGTGCAGTGAGCCATGCTTTTAGGAGATTAAACAGGATGTATGCTAGGCGATCATGTACAGACATATTTCAAGTCGCAAATTAAACTTGTAAACATGCAGAAAACAGAGAAATCTTTTTTTTTTTTTTTGTGGACAACTGTGCAGTCCACAGTAATCTTGTGTTATACAGTCAGTCTAGTCTGGTAAAAAAGTGTACCACTGTTGTTTGTCCCTGTCTGGTTCTCAGAATCAGATATACATGAGCAGTCAAAGGTCTGCTTCTGTTTCACACTGGAGCATGTGCGTTTGTAATCAAGATTCCAATAAAACAATTTTACATGGTTATTG